GGTTTGATCAACAAAAAACATAATTTTACCATAATTAAAATTAGCATTTTATTCAAATACACGATGGATTACATGATTAATTTCAGTTTAGTGAGATGGTTAAGTGAAATGATTAACTTGTTAAGTGAAAAATAAACATTAAACGAAGCGTGAAAAAGGGGAGAGAGAGAGTGGAAAATGTACGTGGAAAGTGTACGGAGAAGTCGTGGGCTCCAAGCTCCACCATGTTTACATTTTTATTTTATTTTTTGCCGTTTTGCTACCTAATCTTCATTAATTACCACTAATCATACTCTTATCTCCACTATCTACTCCTACCAAATTTTAACTTACATTTCTCCCTCTCTCTATATGTCTTCTTATAGTACGAAATACATTTACACGACTTCAAGGACATTAAATTTTAGGCTCTACTCTATAACAAGTCCAAAACGATATATTTCTTCATTATTTATGCAATAATGCAAGTCTCTCATGTATTTTCCGGTTTAGTAGAAAGTTTATGATAGTTCGATTGAAACCTAATATTATTGTAATGACGAACGAAAATAGCGAAGATAGTTTGTTTATTCAAGGAAGAACGTTAGCTCGTCGATCTCCACCGACGATATTCTATTAAATTTGGTCGTCGGTTTTCACATTTCATTATTAGAGTTTAAGGTATTTTTAAAAGCGAGAGAAAGGTATATGCAGGTACGGGTACTATTATGCTACCAAATCAAAACATTATCACATTATTTGTCTCTATTCGATCGATTTGTTTTCAACGATTACATTGATTTTGATATAGATTCTTACATCTTAACTAATAGACATCATATTCCGTCCGTTTGATATTTTTAGATGTTTAAGGTTTTTTACAACATATATATCAAATATATCATTTATTAATTTTCTAATCGATAGAGGTGCAATAGAAAATGTTAAAAATATAAAATGTCAATCTCTGTGTAAATAATGTTTAATGAAATTAATCAAAAACATATAATGATTCATAAAACGTGATAAATATTTCAATATGTTTTATTCCGTGTCAAAACTTCACTCTCTGTGAACAATAAAAAATATCAATGTCAATCATAATCATTGTTTGTTTTTGTAGTATTTTTAAATAACCTAAACAATAAAATATCCGATAAAAATAAAATTTGGATGGATTTTCGAAATTATATATTAAAAATATATACAATTGTATGGCCATGTGCATTAACTATATGCGTGGGCGCGTATTAACAGGCACACCAAAATTGTAACGAATGGAAGAGAAATTGAGTACTCCTTGATCGTACCTACGTCTTTTTGTTTTTGTATTCGTCGGTTTTCTTTTGTAGTGTTTTTTTATAATGTGTTACTATTTCAAGAACCACCACCAANAANAAAAAAAAAAAAAGAGTTTTGTACTAACTTTTTGATGTTAGAAGTTGTTGAACATCAAAACAGATAATGTGGAATTTGACGAAATGTGTTTGGTTCCTACACCGTCCCAAGACAAATGAGTCTCCACTTAACACCTAAACATGTCTCCTTCACAAAATATACGCTCTCTTGATTTTCATATAATATGTGTTTTACTAATTTATTTAATTTTATAAATAATTTCATATATGGGTTTAATTAATATTGACTGATTAAGATGGAGAAGATTTAATTGTAATCAAGAGATTACATATAGTATATTAATTATACTTTTAGTGACTAAGATATGGTTAAAACGTGGTTTATTCGTATATGATCCACTTGGCCTCTATAACATAAAAGTCGGAATAGAAGCAAATCCAAAATTTAGTATTTACTCCAGTCCAATCCAACAAAATCCATATTATATGTAATAAAATATTATATAATAAATATCAAAAGAGGACAAAACTTTTATATATTGAACTAACTCGAAAATTTCCGGATGACTATGAAACATATTTACGTCAAAGGTTTGGGACTTTTGCAGGCAACCGCGTATGTATATTTTTTAATTATAGTAGATTGTCAATTTAATAATATTAAAAGACTATTAGAAATGGATTTTGACATTTTTTATAAGAAATAAATGAAAATGTTGTCAAATAGAGAAAAAACTTACGACACAAAACTACCACACCCACACTCGAGTTGAAATTACGAGAATGGACCTGAACGTTTTTCGGGTATGGACCTTTTGGCCTTTTGAGTTCCTAAGGGACAAATCACGGTCCATAATTTTTTTTTAAAGTACCCAAAATCGATGATAAGATTGATCGTGGAATAGTTTTTTTAGTTTCATTATTTCTATAATGTTTGACGTGTATTTATTTGTTTATATAAAACGTAACATGTTTGATTGTTGAAGATACCTAGAAAAAGATAAATAACAATATATTTTTTTTAATTGTCACATTGGACAGTATCAGTAAGCCGAATATACTATTTTAAAGTCAAAATTAAGTTAGATTTTACGGCTGCTATAAAATCTAATGCAAAAACAAAAGAGTAGCTGCCGTGTGGAACTCTAATTTGACAAAATTCTTACTTTCATTCTGAC